CTCTTTTTGCAACTGGCAAAGTGAAGCTTATTGTTTTCAGAATATTAAGGAAAAACATTTTCTACTGATAAATGATTGCTAATCATCAGGAGTGTTCTCTGGCATCTCTTGAGTATGTCATTCCCAGCTAAACTTCCTTTTTTTGCTTCTTAAACTTAATTATCCATTAAAAACATGTTTGGGAAAAGATGACTCTGGTATTTGGAGTGATATTACAACTAGTCATCAATCCACAACCTTGTGGAGGTAAAAAAACTGTATTTTGTAATAAGTAGCACCATTAATCTTTGCTTTAGAGTGGCTCAATACCAGGAATTAAAGATGGTCTGTGTGAAAGGTCAAGCCCAGTCTATACCAGCTGGAGACCAGCTTCAAACTGGATGGCTTTCAGAGTAATTATGATCCCATCTGATTATGGGATGCCTCTGAACTGATATTTTAATAACTGTAGTTTCCTGGTGCCCTACCTCTTTACCTCGATCCTCTCGATCAACTTCCATCCCTAGCTCTAGATCAAATCCCCGGAGTGCAATGAACTGAATGGAGACTACATTCAGCTGAGTCCACCGGGCCTTGCCTAAGCACTGTGACTTGATTCCTGGCCCCCTCCGTGAGCCTTGCAGCCAGATTAGTCAGTCTCCCTAGCCCAAAGCACACACATTCTTGGCTTACTCCTTCAGGCCAATCATCGCTTGAGGTCGCACAAGCCCCTGGCTATGGCAATGCCAATTATAACAAGCATGGCTTGGTGACCTCCTAATTGTATGAAACCAATTACATTAAACTTGTTGTTCATTCAACAATAAACAGCTTTTGTGCCCACTAAATTGGGGCATACTACTAAATTTGCTGAGTGTAATTTGGCAATACTTCTCCAAATCATTAACTGCTTAAGGCTTTTTAAATAAAGCGTATCTTTGTGCTTCTTGCCTTCAGAGCATGTTACTTTCTTGTGTATATTTTCCTACCCATTTCATTACATCTTACTTATGATGTTTCTGCACAATGTTTCACCATATGCCTTAGGGCCCTTATGTTTTTCTGAATTCCAAATGAAGCAGAGAGGTAGGATGAAGGAGGGGTGGAACTCATCAAATTTGCACTAAATTCCTTTCTCTTTTTGATTCAAAATTCCAGCACAATGAAAAGCAATGAAAGGATAAATATGTGAGTAAATCTAAATGAATACTGACTGTATAAAACAATAATAGGAAGGTCTTTGGGGATTTATAACATATTTGGGATTTATAACATATTTGGGATTTATAAAATATTTATAATTAAAATACATGAGAATAATAAGTTGGCAGGAGGGTAAATAGAGTTTGAAGATCCTTGCATTGTCAGGGAAGAGGTAAAACTACTAATTTATTTTAGACTTTGATAAATCAAATATGCATATTAAAATACCCCTATGGGAAAGCTAAAGGAATAGTAAAAGCATAAAACTACAAATCTAATACAGGGGAGAAATGGAATAATACAAAATGGTCCATTATTTTAGAGAGAAGGCAAGAGAGGAAAGAAAAGGAAACTAAAATGTGCAGAACAAACAGAAGGCAAATAGTAAAAGGGTAGTTTAAACCTAATCATAGCAATAGTTGCATTAATGTAAGCAGATTGAAAGATCTTACTAAAAACCAAAATTCTCAGGTTGATTATAAAAACAAAACCTAAATATGCTGTTTCAAGAGAAACAATTTAAATATAAGGATGAAAAGAAAAGATAGGTTGAAAGAAAAAGATGAAAAATGTACTATGCCAACACTTATTAAAAGAAAGTTGGCTTTGCAATATTAATATCAGACAAAGTTGACTTTAAGGGAAAAAAAGATTACTAAAGAATAAAAAATACTATGTAACAAAAGTTTTGGTTTATCAGGAAAATGCAGAAATTCAGAATTTAACTGCATTTAATCACACAGCCTCCATATAGATAGACAAAGCACAAATAGGTAAAACTAGAGGGAGAATGAATACACACAATTACACTAAGAGATTTTAACATACTTCTCTTAGTAACTAAATGAACATACATTTTCAGAAATGAATAGAAAATATGAATAACAGATGACAAACTTTGACCTACTTGACATAATATAGAACACGGGACAGAATACATATCCTATTCAAGCATTGAGAGAATGTTAAAAGAAAATGATTATATGCTGGAAAGTCTAAATACATGTCAAAAATTACAATATATGGATTTTTGTTCCCTCACTACAATGCAAATGTGATGGAAAAGACAGCAATTACCACAATGAAACTAGAAAAATCCCCCTTTTTTTGGGAAAAGAAGATGTACACTTCCAAACAACTAAATTTGAGACTACATGAAACTGAATGAAAACGAAAATATCACATATGAAACCTTTTTGGGGAAAAAAGGGCCAGCCCTTCAGAAGGTTGATAACCCCTCCTTCTCTCTTTACATCTCCTTCTTTCTGCCCCCACTCTATTCAATTTAAGAGAGAAGAAAATACAAATAAGATTTGTATCTGAGATAGTCTGTTATGAAAGCGAACTTTAGGGTTTTAAAGGGCCACTTAGAGAAGAAGGAAAAAGTCTTGACCGTATCTTTCCAAGGGCAGAACTAGAATAAAAGGGTAGAAATTTAAGGAAGGCAGATTTTAGTTCAGTCTGAGAGAGGAACATGGTTACTAGACACTTTAATATATTAGGAAGTAGTGAGGTTCCTATTACCAGAAATATGCAAGTGGTGCAGTGTGGATCTCCACAGTGGGTGGGGATTTGACCAGTTATCTGTGTTTAAAAATGGTGTTAAGGCACTGCATACAAACATGGCAAAATGTTAACGATTTTAGAATCTGGATGGTGGGTGTTCCATATTCATTGTACTGTGCACTCTACTCTGAGTTTGAAAATGTTAAAGAACTGAAAAATAGGGCCCTTGGGTGGCTCAGTTGGTTAAGGGTCTGACTCTTGGTTTTGGCCCAGGTCACCATCTCAGGGTCTTGAGATCAAGCCCCAAGTTGTGCTCAGCCCAGAGTCATCTTGTCCCTCTCCCTCTGCACCTCCACTAGCTCTCTCTCTCTCTCTCTCTCTCTCTGTTGAAGAACTAAAATCTTTATAAAATTGAAAAATAGAAGCCACATCGACCTGAATATAGAAAGTTGTAAGGATTCAACAACATTGAATGAATATCGGTGCCTTCTCTCATTTGACACAGGACATACATACATATATCTTTGTAGAGTTGCCATGTTGACATTGATGCTTTCATAATTTATCCTCTAATATCTGAAAACCTTGCTCTATGATAAAGTATTGCCAGGAAAGATCTCATCTTAAACAGTTATTTATTTTATCCCTCTTCCTTGAGCAATGTGGCAGTTAAAACCCAGACTTATTATTTCTTGTCTTGTATAAATGTTTTTTTCAGGAAGGTAGGCTCTACAGCTTTCTAAGGCATAAGATTATTCAGTGACTAAAATGTTAAATTTGAACAACTATCGGCTTACGTCCAAATGCTTCATATACTATTAAACTTTTTTTTCTGTAACCATCTGCATTGTGAACCTTCTTTTGTTTTTTTTTACATTTTTAAAAAATTTAAATTCAATTTGCCAACATATAGTATAACACCTAGTGCTCATCCCATCCAGTGCCCTCCTCAGTGCCCATCACCCAGTTATCCCATTCCACCCACCCCCCCTCCCCTTCTGCAACTCTTTGTTTCCCAGAGTTACCAACTTCTTTTTTTTTTTTTCCAACTTCTTTTTTTACTTTAATTTATGTCTCTTTAGGTTCCTGTAACCCTTGGGATTTGGCATTTACAGAAACACCATTATTTCAATTGTCCTCAAAGGACTAAACTTACAAATCAGGAGTGGGAATTATCCTTAACAATTAGAGTATTGCCTTAGAATCACAAAAAAATCCCTGCTTTCCTCTTTAAGAAAGAGGGCATTTGACTGCAAATTTATTTGCTACTTCAATCTGTTAAGCATTTTTATAAGCTGTATCTTCTCATTCTTTACATTTCTGATGCCTGTATTGAAGGATTTTGGAAGTGTCAAATGTGATGTGGTTTGGAAATGTCAAGTCTTTATGTGGACTCATATGAATATGTATCTACATTTATGAACCTTAGGGGTGTAGATAATTAGAATATTCTTAAAATAGTTGTGTAAAAATCAATGATAGTCCATATTTTAGCAATTTCCTCCTCAGTTTCACTCTCAGTTCTTAAAACTTTTTTCTAGAGTTATACAATCTCAATTTATTTATTTTTTTAAAAAGATTTATTCATTTATTCATGAGAGACAGAGAGAGACTTTTTCTAGAGTTATACAATCTCAATTAATTAATTAATTAATTAATTAAAAATTTATTCATTTATTCATGAGAGAGAGAGAGAGAGAGAGAGAGAGAGAAGGAGGCTCCACGCAGGCAGCCCGATGCGGGATTTGATCCTGGGGCTCCAGGACCACGCCCTAGGCCGAAGGCAGGCGCTAAACCACTGAGCAACCCAGGGATCCCTACAATCTCAATTTAACTACAAGGTTTAAGACAGGGAAATTCAGAATGCTGGCTTACTTAATAGTGGGGTAGCTGACATACACCATTAAACTAAGTGAGATTTGACTTTTTGGTTTTGTTTCAAATTGATACTATAGTTGTCACTTTTCCCCAAGTTATTCATGAATTATCATGCATGTTTGAATTTAACTTGCTTATAACTTGTGCTGACATATATAGGCTATGGGATATCCTCCTGTCTATGTGAAGGCACTTTCAGTGCTGTGAAGTAATAGCATTCAAATAACTCCCATGAGTTCAAGGTACCTAAAGGCAATAGAGAACTAAAGAAAATATTGTTCAATAAAACTATTGACGACCCTATGAGTGTTTCAATCCTACAGATTTCTCAGGCTAGCATATATAAAATAGTCTTTGGACTTTTAAATGAATTTGGGGCATTTTACCTTACATTTCCATCAGAGACAAAATTATGTTTGGACTATATATTCTCTGTGTTTGCTTCAGCAGCACATATACTGAAATTAGAATGATACAGAGAAGATTAGCAGGGCCCCTGTGTAAGGATGACTGGTAAATTTGTGGACTGTATGTCCTTTGAGATCTCTTTCAGTTTTCTTTTAAATATTTTATTTATTTATTCATGAGAGACACAGAGAGAGAGGCAAAGACATAGGCAGAGGGAGAAGAAAGCTCCTTGCAAGGAGTGTGATGCGGCACTTGATCCCAGGACCCTGGGATCATGACCTGAGAAGGCAGATGCTCAACCACTGAGCGACCCAGGCATCCCAAAATCTCTTTCAGTTTTAAAAATCTGAAATTAAGGTTCATTTTACTGAATTCCTGGATTCTGTTGTAGAAAATATTCATTTTCCAGCTCTTACCTCTTTTGCCTTCTCTACCTTAAAATATTGGATCCTGGGAAACCTGAACAAATATGCTCTTGCTTTTTTGGGGACCATGATCATAGGTTTCTATTTCTCCCCCACCTTCCTTTTTTTCATTTTTCAGCAGTGGCTTCTGACCTGTAGAATCAAAGGAGGGTCTAAAAATGGGCTCATCTTTCAGGATTAAATGGCTCTGTTAGCAGAGTGAGATGAATAGAAAGTTCTCTTAAATGTTTAAATGCACTACTGTGTACCTGTAAAGTTACATACTTTCAGGAATTTAGACTTGCTTAATGTCTATTTGGCAGCATAAACTCTGAAAAAAATCTCATGGGGAAACACGCCCAATACATGGCTTCTCTGTCTATATAGTACAAAGGGAGATGGACCTGTTCCAGTTATACAGTTGATATGTTAAAGGTAGATGCCAAGCTAAATCAGTTTTTAAGGGAATTTTTTGGCATGCATAAACACGGAAGGAAAAAAAGACTATGTTCTTAGATCTGTATATATATATATATATATATATATATATATATATATGAACATATATATATTTTTATTTTTTAAATTTTTATTTATTTATGATAGTCAGAGAGAGAGAGAGAGAGAGAGGCAGAGACACAGGCAGAGGGAGAAGCAGGCTCCATGCACCAGGAGCCGGACGTGGCATTCGATCCCGGGTCTCCAGGATTGTGCCCTGGGCCAAAGGCAGGCGCTAAACCGCTGCGCCACCCAGGGATCCCTATATATATATTTTTAATTGGTTACTGCATGGAACACATCCGTAGAGTCTATCATATTCCAAGTTTTCATTTTAGAAGAAAATGGAAAAATTGAGCAATTCATATTGTTAATTTTAAAATTAGCCTGGAATTATTTTTCCCTAGAAATGTAATCATTTGTTTATGGAAACCTTTAAATGAAAATCTTTGGCTTCAGGCATGTATGTGGTTAATGTGGATGACTGTGAGGCTGCCAGATAGGTAGGACCTATCAACTAAGGATCTCTTTCAGGGCTTTCATAATGACAACAATCATACTATTTTCTTACTTCATAAGATTTTTTAATTCTAAATTATCTTACTCGAGATCGTTTCTTTAGTTGCTTGTGCTAGCTTTTTTTAAACCTTATTACTCCAAGAATTTATTATTCCAAGAATGAGAGTTTATGGGAGGACTTGTTGATCTTTTTCGAAAGTCTGAGAACCAGAGAATAATTTTTTTTCTTACGTAACTTGAGACAGAATGATATGAAATATGACTGAGACAGAAGAGTGGGTAAGATCACAGGTTTTAGTATAAAATAAGTCTCAGTTTGAATCCAAGAAACACCACATTTTAGGTGTGTGTTCAGGTCAAGTTATTTAATTTTTCCAAGTTTCAATGACAAAATCTGTCAAGTAGGGATAATACCTATTTCATACTGTTATTGTGAGTACTAATTGAAATAACACACCCCTCAAATGGTATCTGGTTGACACTAGGTGCTCAATAAATTGTACTTAACATTGTGACATGGCTATGAGTTGGTGTAAATCAGACTATTGTCTACAGACTGAAGGAAGCAAAAAACTGCAGAAAGTTAGGGCTTTTAATATATTTTGCTATGCACTTGTATATAATTACACATCCTATCTTTGCTTCCTTATTCAGGGTCATATTTTGAATGTGGTCGGTTATGACTGAAATCCAATCAGGAAGATCATTACAGCCTTGAATGACCTCCCTTCCTTTGGCATATTCCAGATGAACAGATAGGAGAATAGGCAAAACCAGCCTTTCTTTCTTAAAGCCATTTCTCATTAGGGAAATTGCAAACATTCAAACGAGAGATACAAAAGCAAAGAAATATCTAGCAACTTTTGCATTTCACAGTATTTTGTGATATGAAAGGACAGTTAATGGCTATAGGACCCCCTTCACAGCAATGGAGTGTTAAGGTTTATAAAGACTACTTAGCAAACATAGCTTTAATTGGAGCTCTAGGGATGCCTAGGTGGCTCAGCGGTTGAGTGTCTGTTCGGCTCAGGATGTGATCCCAGGGTCCAAATGAGTCCCACATTGGCGGGCTACAGCAAGGAGGTGGTTTCTCCTCCTTCTGCCTGTTTCTCTCCTTCTGTGTCTCTCATGAATAAATCAATAAAATCTTTAAAAAAATAATTGGAGCTCTAATTAGAACCTATATGTAACTCTAAGAACTTCTGTGAACAAGTTCCAACTACGAAAAATCTAGGAAAATATAAATTTTCAGCAGCAATTTTTATTATATTGGCCATGTCAAGGACATTGGGGTCATCATCTTTCAAGGCAGGGATGAAGTTATAAATCAGACCTAAAGAACAGATGGGGAATATTTTCAAATGTAGTGGAAATAACCGCATGTAAAAAGTCAGCACAAGTATTTCTGGTTGTTTATTCATAAGGACAAGACTTTAAGGTGAAAACATCGATGTCTGACTTTTCAAATGAGCATAATTCTCTACAAAACATAACAGTGATCTACATAATCATTTGTGGTTGATGAAGCATCTGATCAATCATATCATACAGGAGACTCTGAGGTGGAGCCAATTTTTGTTTTGTAATGCTATGCTAGTGATATGGCAAAACCATGGCATATTAGAAAATATTCTTTAGAAATACTAATTTTGGTTTTCTCCAAAAGCTAAATGACCTACAGCTTTCATTATAGCTATAGGCAAATTATGTACATGGATATGACAAACTCTTATTTCCAGATTAAGGCTTTGACAGATAAAATTAAGAAAAAAATAAAAGAATTTAAAGCATGAGGTAAAAGAATATGCTGATAGTGACAGTGTGACAATCCAGACGGCTAGGCTGACTTCCTTCTGTCATCTTCTTACTTATTCTTTCTCTTTCTCTATCCTGCATTTCTGACTCCTTCCTCTTTAAATACTCAATTTTGCATTTGCCCTTCCTCAGTGTCATCCTGATTAGGCAGACCGTTCTTCTAACTTGAGAGCTCCGACTGCTGCCACATCTGAGGTAGTGTTAGGACATCTCCCGCTGGTTGTAGGTCTTGGGCACTGCTGCTTCAGCAATGGTTGGGGAGTGCTTTGGCCCAGTGCTGTGACTCTCCAGTGCACCCTCTGGGAGCTCAGCAGGGTGCCCTTGCCATCTTTATCTCCTCAGTGCAGGTAGGCTGCTGTCCAGGCCCCCCGAACTCCCTACACCTGCAGCTAGTCTCATCACTACTCACCTAGATGTTGACAAAATGCAGAAAGTCCTATAAGATTATTTTGAGCCTCACTGCAGCATATTAGTTGGTTTTAATATAAAAACTAGCCTTTTCCTTAGATTCCAATTTGCCAATGTACTTTTTTTTTTTAAGATTTCATATATGTCTTTGAGAGAGAGAGGGAGAGAGTGCATGTGGGCCAAGGGGCAGGGGCAAAGAGGCAAATTCCTCTCTGAGCATAGAGCCTGATGCGATTCTACCCCCCTCCACACCCCCACACCCCATGATCATGACCTGAGCGGAAACAAGAGTCAGTCGCTCAGCAGACTGTACCACCCAGGTGCCCCTTATCAATGCATTCCTGTATGATCCTCTGCATCGGCCAGGCTACATATTGCCATGTGTAAGACACATGTTGCTACCTGTCTAACTTTGTCCATGAGCCTCTCCCTAACCCCTCTACTTTAACAGGACAGTTTCCTTTTCAAGATTCAGCTCACACCTACCTTCTTTATGCTTCTTTTCCTAGGTTCCTTTGGTCAGTGTAAGATCACTACAGAAAGCAGCTTATCCAGCTGACTGTGGGACAGATGTAATCTTGTTAAGAAAGAGCAGTAGCAGCAAGTTTGCTATCTCTAGAAAGTCAACTGCTTTTGAGAGGTCTTGAATAACTCCTCCTATCTTCCTCCTTAAGTAGAGCCATCTTGAGGGTAAAGGTGTGCCCCTGGCACTTTATCTGATTCAGGGTCCGAAACAAGTTTTGATCCAACTACTGATTTCTGGCATTCTTCATTAGGAAACCATCTTCTGGATTACCCTATATACACACCAGTGGCCTATATAAATTTTATGGCCCTAATGTGTTGAAGGTACCAACTGAGCTTTCTATTGGATTTGATGCATAAATTCTGGCACCATTATATTACAACATTGCAAAACATAATAAGTAATACTCAATGCTTCCATAGTACTTATACAATTGTTATTACATTTTTTTTTTACAAGACTAAGGGATGCCATGCCAAGTAAGGTGAATGTACAAAACTTCTCATAGCTTCTGCAAAGGCCGAGTTAAATTTTACTTTCAAATTAGTCTTCCAGTAAGTTTTAGTATAAACTTTAAGATGGAACAAACTCCAAGCAGTAAAAATCTTTTAAGTGTTACAGTTATATTCTAGGTGGATAAAATCATAATGGCCTAGAACAATGCACTAAATGCCAAGTGGATTTTTAATGCTGAGGTTTTTTGTTTATTTTATTTTTATTTTATTTTATTTTATTTATTCATGAGAGACACACACAGAGAGAGAAGCAGAGACACAGGCAGAGGGAGAAGCAGGCTCCGTGCAGGGAGCCCGATGTAGGACTCGATTCCGGTACTCCAGGATCATGCCCTTGGCTGAAGGTGGCGCTAAACTGCTGAGTCACCCAAGCAGCCCAATGCTAATGTTTTTAACTTTTCTTTGAGCTAAGATGTTTTCCCCACTGCATTTTATTTGGTTAAATGTG